ACAAGCAGCAAAATTTTGCTGAAAAGGTTTTTCAGCATCCTAACATAGTCAAAGCCTTCTGTTGTGAATGACTGTCCCAACACTAGGGAAGCAACAGGAACCCATGGTTAATTGCAAGGATGAAAAGAACCAAACCACTCGTTTAAGCACAGACAGCTTATAAAACAGTCCTTTATGAGCAGTATTTCCACAGCCAATATAAGCCAACACAATGGCATGCTGCTGCCAAAAGGATGCTTTCTTAGTCCCATCTCCCCTTCAGGTATCCCTACATGGATCCTGCCACTTTTCATCACCTCTTTCAGCTGATTAACTAACCTAACTCAGCATGGAGTGCTGGCAGGTTGGGGGATTGAGCCATCTCATGGAAAATCTCTTGGGCACTAGAGCTGCTGCAAGATAAACAGCTGATGACCATGAGCAGGTGGGAGTAGTGGGGCAAGGACAATGGAAGTGGTGAGGAGCTGTTTGGATCAGCTGATTCCATCTTGCAGAACCACTCCCTTAGTCTCAATTTTTTCATGAAAGTGCGTTTATGGAACACTGGTGAAAGTTTCAGGAACCTTAACTGCCTTTCAGAGATGTTGTGGTACCTTGTTTCTTGGCTTTTTGAAGCTGATGCTTGGCTGGCATACTGGAGCAGTCTTAAAGAGTAAATAGACTTAACTGGCAGCTAGGGACTGATCTTTTAAAAAAACTGTAGTGCTCAAACTCTTCTCTGTTAGTAATTAGACCCCCAAATTGTCAGTATTCTTAAAGCAACACTTTGACTTACAGTATTTTTCCTAGATACACATGATCCACTGTCAAATTCTTAGGACAAGAATTAGGCTTGGAAAAAAGTGCCATAGGTATATTTAAACATGCCTTGAGTTAGTTTTGTTCAAGGTCCACTGTGCCCAGTCACAAACGCTGACTTTACCTGTGTGTTTACTCATATCTGGAAACAATGTTGTATTGCAGACCCAGAGCCTGCAACCAGCTCATTTCTTTTCATAAGCATTTGTTGTTCTTGATCTTTTCAAACAAACTGTAATAGGATAAATAATAAGAGGAATAAGAAGTGTCACACAGCTGAACTAGCTAACATCTTGAGACAGAATGAAAACTTGTGTGGTTGGCATTTTTTCTACTGAATAATAAGCTCACATCAGTAGTGGATAAGTGTATAGAAAGGGGTTGTTCTTGGGAAGAATAAATTGCAGGAGCTGTTGCGCTTTTATATCAAGATTTTTCTCTGTGACAGCTTTTACTAGTAATCTTGTCTTTTATTTTTTAGTGTGGACCTGACGAGCTTATTTCGTCTGGTATCAGTAACACGTCTTTTACCATGGACAATTCTACTCCAGCTACAGGTATGCGTAAAAAAAGATTTTTACCACAGTTCTTCTTCAACAGTGTGTCTTTTCTCTTTAAATGTATTTTTTATTCTTTATTGTCACCATTAGCAGCCTTACCAAGCCTGAGCTGTAATCTGACTCCAAAAGTAGAGCCACTGGAGCCTACCCAATTCAATGACAGTATTGAGGAGCTCCAAAACTGACTAGTTGAACCAGGCAATAAGTATCTATTTTCTATAATAATGATCAAGCAAGTAGCCTTCAGTACAGAATCTCAAGTGCGTAGTCAATTCTCCTGTAGTTGTGCATTTGAAAGAAATTTGTTTTGAGGTATTTCAAGGCTGTCAGGATTACACAGACAGAAGATGAATATCCTATATCAATCTCAGTTTGGTGGAACGTAGGGCACATTATGTGGACTCATGATAAAGAGTTAAGCTGATTCCCTTGGGTGTTCTTGTTCCTGCTTTCTACCCTGTTTCCAGAACTTCTTGAGCAGCAGCACAGACAGTCCTGTGATTTGTTTTCAGATGCTTTCCTGCCAGTTCTTGTCCCCAAAGAATCTCTCTGTGGGTTGAGATGAATGGTAGTGCTTTTGCAAAGGAAGCAGGAAGAAAAATGATAATTTTTTTCTCTTGGTCAGATATTTTCTTGATCTGGTTCAATACATATCTGCACAGATTGTTCTTCAGCAGAGTGGGTCTTTTGGGAGATGGTGGGAAACTGGATAGATAGGTGCAGGGTAAGGAAACTGGGCCTACTTAAGCAATGTGATGGCTCAGTCTAAAACCACAGCTGCGTGTTCCTTCTAAGATGCTAAACTAGTAGCATCCAAAGAAATCTATGCTCTGCCCTACTCCATGTGTTGAGAAAGATGCAGTAAGTGTGTTTGGTTACCTGTAGTTTTAGATCAGACAAAAAGTTGAAAGCAAGAGAAAGCTGGGAATGCCTTCTTTAGAGGTACTTTCAGCTTAGGTGGGCTTGAAGTATTAATGGGCCACAGCTGCATAAGTTAACTTTAAGTAATGTAAATTAAGTAACTCATTACATAGACAGTTGCCTGTCAGCAGTGGTTTCCAAATAGTTGATTTTGTAATCGGGCAAGGGACAGAGCAGATGACCTCTTGATAAACATCTAAGACTTACTTGCTATATTTCCAATAAGAAATAAGGGGAAGGAAGAGTCAGAGGATCTAACTTGAAGATTTTTCTTTTTGATTTCTTTGACTTGCACCTGTCAAATTGTTCATACATCTACTAATCGATTCAGGGTGACATCCAGAGTCTTCTGCTTGGCTTGAAACAGCATTAGCTTATAACTCAGTAATTTAATAGCTGAAATATATTTCAGGCCTGTGTAGATGGCATTTTTTTGTGAGAAGAAACCCTCTGGCAAAGAATATAAATTTGTATTGAGTTCAAATGGCTTTTATTAATTACCAATGCAACCACTGGTCCTTCATAGTGATGTCCAGGGTGTCTAAATGATATTGAACTTTAAAATAAGATAGACGTGTTTGTCTCCTAATAAATAAAAAAACCCCTCTAATTCTCATTGATGACTCTATGCTTCATTTTGGGTTTATACAATCTCTGTTGAGATGCAGCTCTTTACCTAATACAACTGCTTCACCTGCAGCAGTTTTTTCATCTGGTGGGTCACATATTTAAAATGCATTTTGGGTCTCTTGATCTGAGGCTACTCACTTAAAAAAATATATTTGTACCAGTCATGAATCATGACTGTAATGAACTTTATTTTGTACCACCAGCTCCCAAATTTCACTTTGTTCATAAGACTTCTCTTATGTTTGTCTGTCTGAAAGCGTGTTTTGCTTTCACACAATTGAGTGTAAAATTTGGAAGAGGTGGTTGCCTTGGACATGCACTAAAAAATTATTAAATCAATTTTGAAATTTAGCTGCCAGAAAAAACACATCAAAAACACATCAAAACACATCACTCTGCATCAAAATTAGTATCGAACAGTAGCTGGAGAAAGAAGCTTGATTTAAAAAATGCTGAGGTTTTTACGCTTGGGATGGAATGAGTGCTAGCTTTTATTACTGATTTAGTGACTTAGCTAAAGTTCCACAAAACTTAATATAATTGCGACAGGAAAAACAGCACTTTAATAACATTTTTAGGTAAGGTGTTTGTCACTGTTCGGAAGTCAGATCAACTAAAGCTAACATACGCATGCTAATGGGTAGGTAGGGAAATAGAGGGTGCACACTGTATGTACACAGGCTGAAACTGTTCTGGTAAGCACCATCCTTTTTGGCTGAATGCATGACCTGCAAACTCCTGTAACACTCAGTGAAGATGCAGAGAGAAAATGCTGTGCTTGCCACTTAGCTCCATCTCATCACCTCTGATAATGAGTCAGAACCCAGAAGGTATTGCTTCTGTGAGAGATTCTCATCTTAAACTAAAGGCAAAACCTTTTAGGTTTCATTTCTTACTTTCTTTAGTCAAGCAGTCCTTGACTTAGTAAATCAGGGACATCTTGTCCATTTTGAACCTGAAAAGTAGATTTAACAAAATAGGACGGGTTGTTAGGCTTTAATAGTACTATATCCTGTCATGGCTTGGTACTGATGTGCATTTAATATATTTCTGTTTGTCTTGAAGTCTCATCCCCAACAAGTGTGCTGCATGCTTAAATTTTTCAGAATGCACACAGAGCACATGATACCATTTAAAATTTCTTGATGGAAAAATCAATGCATAACAGACTTTTTGTTTTGCAGGTGAGGGAATTGGTTAACTTGGCTTATGAGTGTGCCATGGTTGGGGCTTCGATCTTCTAACTTGGAGTTTTACAGACTTCTGCTACTAAAAAACACCTCTGTGAAGATCCTTACACAGGATGACTTGTGTGAACTGCTTCTCAGACTGTAGGCAAAACCTACAGCAAAATCTGAAATTACATGCTAAGCTCATAGAGATACTTTTTACTAATCTTCTTTGTTTCTCCTTGGAAAGCTAAATGCAAAACATGAGGTGTTACGGCTATCTCACTTGCTGAAGCGAAGCTGTTTGTGGCACATAAGCAAAAAAAAAATGCTGTTTCATCCTTTAACTTAGGTGGTATGCAGTCAAACTTCAATACAATTTCCATCAAATATGCTGTCTTTCCTCTCAGTTTAGGATATTTTTTTCATCAAGTCTCATGACCCACTGTAGCTTGCTTTAGGAGGATCTCTTAATGGCATCTGTAGTTTGGCTAATGAATTTCAGTTTTACTACTTTAAGTTATTACTCCATTGTGATAGCTTCTAGAACAATATGCCTGTTGCAGAAGCGGTGTTCTGCTTAAAAGTGCTCTCACGGACTCTGAGTCGTCTCCTTGAAATGTAACCACTG